CGATTGGTTGAAAAGCGGTCACCTGACATCACGAGAGACTAAGAGAGATGGATGTGCGCCGCCCCACCAAAGGTACTGCGAGGAAGTAGGGGCGCGAAAACAATAGCGATAATGGAGAAGACAGAATTAATGCAGTTTTTGGAATTATCGAGAAAACCCTGACGCCGACAGACCCACCCCAGTTTGTTGCGGCGTCAATATAAGCAGGACCCCAGTCGACAGAAATCAGTAGAGTTGGAGGGAGTTGCAGTTAAAGTTCATCCCGGACGGCAGCGAGAAAAGAACCCTCAGACAAGAAGAACTTCCAGCCCAAGTAGATGAAGAAGAAGATTGCCTGAAAGCCTGAGAAGAATTGGAGCTGCAGACAAGCCAAAGTCGATGAGAAGTTAAAGTTCATCCCCGGACGGCAGCGAAAAGAACCCTCAGACAAGAAGAACTTCCAGCCCAAGTAGAAGAAGAAGAAGAAATACAACTCAAGTCGGAGAGAAGAATCAACTGCGAATGATCGATAGAAATTAGCCCCAGTGTCGAACTGAACCACACTCCGACATACATACATGATTCTAGAAAGTAGGTAATTCGACATTTTCCTATTGTGTGATAGAAGCTTGGTGCCATAGTCCACAGAGCGGGTCGGGAATTGAGAACAATTTTTTGTTTTATGTAACGGACTTTAAGATATAAAAGGTTGTTACCCTTTTTATCAGCAATTTTGTTTGGTGTCGTGAGTTTTTATTTTATTTGTGTTTTGCCACCCCGTCGGACTCAACTTGTATCGGCCCCGATCCCTGCTGGTCCCGTCTGTCTAAGATCTAAACACAGCGTGGGTAGACAGACCGGAGATCGGTATAGTTGCTTTTAGTGACCAGGTATTGGAAGCGAGTCGGGAAAGGCGAGGCTGGTGATCATCTGACCAAAGGGTTGGAGCGGCACGCTTGGACCCAGGAGGAACGACCAGGAGGAGCGACGTCACCGTTGGCACCGTAACCAAAGGATCCGACACTGGGCCAGGTGTGTAACCGTCACAAAGGTACAACTGCACCAAAATTTTTAAACATTTTCTGGAGCCTATCACATGACTTATATTGCTAATATAAGCAACAAACAATTAAGAAACAGGAGGTGGGAAAAGTTAGCCGAAAATCTACATGCTACGTGACGACATGCATCATAAAATAACTTTTAACTGAAGTCCAGACTATAAGTTAAAAATCCTTTTTAACATAACCACAGTCTATTTCCTTCATTCAATGCAAACTAAATTCACGTTCGACAAACAACACACTCAAATGTCAAACACAACATAAGGCACACCCACACACACTTTACCCACAATCTTTGAATGAACTGAATATTTCCAAATTCACACAACTTACCCTACAACTTGCACTCTATCAAACTGGAACCTATCTCACACAAAAATCTAAAAAGAAAAGTTTATTTAACCATTTTAAACAACATTCATAACTAGTGTCTTGTACATTTATTATATAAAAATAAATCTATTTCTTTGTAGAATTTCTCTTGTTTGAATTTTCTTCTTTCTTCTTCTTATTTTGTGGCATGTTGTTTATAAATTAGTGAAAGCATGTGACTCCCACAAAATAAAAAAAAATTAAAAAATGAACAGAGTTGTGAAAGTTGTGGGTGGGAAAAACTGAAAGTAAGTTGCAGTCGGGAGACAGGGAGAAGAAAGAGAGAGAGAGGAGTAATTAATTTTTGTTGTGTAAATTCTCAAGAAGGAAAAAAAATTTTAAATTCACCTTTATATATGTTTTTTTTTTAGGTTTTATTACAATTCTAATCATCGCTTTTTAAAACAATAAATATCGCTGAAGAAGAGTGAAGGTGCAGGGTGGTCAGAAAGTCCTGAAAACAATTTTCCATTTCAAATGGCTCAGACGAAAATGATCGTCTCCATACAGACATTCTCGATGTATAACATCATCAATAAAAGTGAATAAACTGAATCCAGTACACGTGCTTTCTATTACTGTACTTGTTGTTCTATTGTTCGTATTACTTTTTTTTTCTTTTTTTTTGGTAGGGGGTGACAAGACTTTCGGACCACCCTGTAAGTGTCATGTGAAAAAAAAAAAAAAAAAAAAGTCTAGCGAGCTATTCCAATTAGTAAAGTGTTTACTAAACACTAAAAAGCAGTATTAATTTAACAACATCAATTGATAAAATTTAAAAAAAAAAGATTTAAAATAAGTTTATAAATTACTAATTAAAATTAAAAAAAAATAAACCAATTCTTGTAAAAATTTATCGGAAAAAAAGATTTAAAAAAATATAATTTTTATTATAAAAAATTATATTTTAATCCTTTTTTAATATTTTTTTATATTAAAAAAAATTCCTTGATGTTTCTTTCTTTAATAATAATAAAGATTTTGACGATATAAATTTGTTTTTATTAAGTTTTGTAGGGCATTTTCCATCATGTATTCATTTTTTAGCGAATCTTTGGAAGTAATTAAAAAAAAAAATAAATTTTCTTTAGGAATACATAAAGTAATTTTAGGTCTTCTTAAACAATTTGGACACTATGCATAGTATATTAATTATTGGTATACATAGGAAAGTCTATATTCGACGAGGGAGGCTATTTAACAACAAGATTCAAGTTTTCAGGTCAATATTTTGGTTTTGCATCTTACGGTCCGGCACCAAAATACCCTCCATGGAGCAACCTATCCAGTGTTCAACTTCCTTATTTCCAAAGTAAATTTTTAAAAAGGGAGAAAACGTGTAAGACTGTCGCAACATAATCTTCTTGACTCCATTTCTACTTCTGTCGTGGTGAAGCTCGGCTTTGTTATGAATTTTGTTTTTCTGTCCATTACATTATTTTTAATTTGTAATGAAAGTAAAATCTGATTTAGAATACAATTTTAACGTAAATTCTTAAAACTAAAAAAAAAAGTATAAACTTATGCTAATAATAAAAGAGTAATTAAATTTAGGTATAATCCTTTTTTCTTTTAGAAAGTAAAAAAAACAAATATGTTAAAAAAAAAAAAAAGGAAAAGAAACCTTACTTTAAACAAAAAGTAAACAGACTTTTTTACTTCCGAATAAAAAGAATGTTAATTGAGGTTAATCTCTTGTTCAGACATTGCTCTAAATTCTTTCCAGACGTTCCTCTAATATTTGAATTATTTAAAAAATAAGATTTGGCTACTAAAACGGAACAAACGACACCTGTACAATTAAAAAAATAAACATTTTTACCTGGCTCATCTTCCCACATGGTCTCATTTACTGATATAGTGCGCAAACTCAGAGTCGTGGCCGGTGTTCGGCGGAATAATAGTTCTCTCTGAATTAACTTCCAATCTCCTTGAGGGTTTTTTTTTTTTGGTGGGGGGGACTATTTGGTTCAATGGGTTAAAAATGCCAACAAGATTTTTTTTATTGTTGGTAATATTTTTTTCTTCAAAAATGTATTGTCGTTAATTTGTTTTCTTTTTAATATATTGCTGGTAATATTTTTTTTCCAAAATTTATTGCTGGTAAACGTATTATTGCTGGTAATAATTTTTTCTTAAAAAAATCATTGCTGGTAATAATTTTTTGCGGTAATGTATTGCTGGTATTATAAAATCTATTTTTACTTTTTCATAGTGCTTTGACTTCAGTTTGGGCGTTAATTTATTTGCCCATAGCTGGGACCCCTAACAGGTGCTAGCACTCCGGGTCAGGGTGGACACCTGGGAACACCAGCAATTGAAGGTGGTTCCACGTTCCTCAAAACCTCCTGACCAGAGACCTTGCTGTTGGATGTACTTTAAATCAGGTTACCTAGGACACGGATGTAGTTTATCATCATACCCAGGACAGAGCCTAACAGAAGCTAGCACTCCGGGTCAGTGAACGTGGGAACGATAGCAATTAAGTTAAGAGGTGGTTCTACGCTTGTCAAAATCTCCTGACCAGAGGCCTTGCTGTCGGATGAAGTTTATCATCATAACCAGGAGGTTGTGTAGAGTGTATTTGTCGAAAGTCTAGAGGCAGTGCTGGATTAAGATCAGAGTTGAGTAGAGTACACCACACGTAGTTTATAATTCATATTAATATTTTTCGAAGGAAAAAAGAAATATTAAATTAAATTAGATTTATTATATTTTCAAAAAGGCTAAGACAAAAAACTACCGACAATTCCAACATTCTTATTTGTTTTTTTCTTTTGCTTATTTTCTCCAATCTCTCAATAGTGTGTTTAAATGTCTGGAAGTGAAGTGATTACAATCCAAAAAAAAAAAAAAAAAAAAAAAAAAAAGTTTTTATATTGTTTCAGAACGGCAATATAAGAATCTACTGACCGAATCAATAAATGAAAATACCGCAGTTTTTTTTATAATAAAAGAAAATGCATAAACACTTACTTTTACAATACACTCTTTTTCTTTTTAGGAAAGAAAGTTAACTATTTTTACCAACCCCGTGAAAATGCTTCATAAATAAATATAAAATAATTAATGATGAAATACATTGAACAGAATTTTAAACAGTTTCTGTAAATAAATATTTACAGAAACTGTTTAAAATTCTGTAAAATTTTCAAAATATTTTAGAAGTTTTGATAGAAAATACTGTAAGTAACTTCAAGTAAAAACTTGGAGTTAACTTTTTTTTTTTGAAAGTTAATTTCTGTTTGAAATGAAGTTTTTAGTTTTGCACTTTTAAAAACAACTTTATTTTTTTTTTTTTTTTTATAAAAATAAAACCATTATTAAATTAAGATATATCGAGTATATAATAAAATCAGGAATAATCACAAATAGTTTTGTTTTATATTTTGTTATATTTCATTTATTTTTTTTTTACTGAAAAAAAAAAGTACTTTGTTTAAGCCGGAAGAGAATAGCTGGGAGACGCATGCGCAGTATTGACATAATTCTATTTCCGTTTGTTCGGACCATGTGGACTTTATTGAATCTCTGATATATCTTTTTCCTTGTCACTATTGGGTTTTTAGTTTTTATCCTCAGAAAATGTCTGCAACCAAAAGAAATTGGTAAGTACATCCCAATCAATCACTTGACTTGTATGAAACGCAAAATCTGTCCAAATCCGAAAAGAGAGGCTTCACTATCGTCACGATCACCACGTTTTTTTTAGCTTTTTTTTTTAGATAAGTTTTTCTCATTCTAAAAAAAAAAAAAAGAGTCTTTGAATCGTGAATGACTGGCTTTTCCTGTTCTTTGTAGTCAATAATTTGAATTTATATGCATTCTTCTCTTCGTGAACAATTTTTAACCGCATTGTGTTTGTTAATAAATTGAAATTCATGATCTAGTTTGGTACAAGGCCATTAGGGAGTATCTCCAGTTAAGTTTTTAAAATTGGCTATTAAATAGTAAATAGGAAGATGATTTCTGTTCAATTCATCAACTGTAGTTCTATGGCAGAAATTTCCGTTTTGTTAATAGTTGAACTCGTGTAACCTATTATGCCCCGCTTGCAATAACATTTAATTTTCGACCTGGTTTATTCCACGAGTTTTGTTAATTTTAGCATTTCAAACGATTATATACCAAACATTGATTTGTCTCCTTTACATTCTGCGTATTTGTTTTTAATTAGCTTCGTATTGTGAGTTAATTCAACGGTTCTATTTCCAAAAATCCTGAGCCATAACACTTGTTGAAAAGAATCGGGATTTTTTTTAAAGAGAAATATGTTGCACAATTGATCGTAAGAACAAGTTCTAAAAATATGTCCTTTCTGGTTTTTTTCACTGATCATATTCATAAATATGCGACATTTGGTATCTGTGTCTATTTCTGAGATAAGGTATTATTGCATTATGTACACTGTTTATTCGGACTATTGTCCTCATCTTTGTCGCCATATTTATTACAACGTTTCGGACGTTGTACGCTCCAGCCTTCTTCAGCTAGTTGGAATGTCGAACTGAACCCTTTATTTCGCTCACTGGGGTAGACTGTTCTAGTTCCACGTGCCATGTCTAATGGATGTTAGTCATCATCAGTTATCTCCTGCTTAATTAATTCCCTCTCCAAGTTCTCCACCGCCTTAACCAGATATTGAACTAACACTCTTTGGATCCTGTCACTGGATCTAACTAACGCCTTTATCCACTGTACCATGTGTCCTTGTCTGTGTATAAATTTCTGGGTATAATAAACTTAATGTCTTCAGCAACCATTTTTACCAGTGCTCATACTGCAATTCTTGCTGTTATCATTTCATATTTTTACCAGAGCTCATATATCAATTTTTTTGTTATTGTCTCTTTTCTCTGGCACTCCTTATTACTGGTTCCCATATTGTATTCATTTCTATGCTTGGTCAGCTCAGGAGATTTTTGTGGCGTAGCATATGTGCTGATTTCTTAAGTTTACGAATTTTCCAGTGGTGTTCCTTGTCTATGATCTCAACATTATCCCACAGAGGGCGGTGATCTCCCTTTTCTCTCCATATGTGGTCAGCCATGCCTGATTTTTCCACTTCCCCTCATGTTACAGTTTTCTGGTGTTCTTGAAGGCTTACCTTAAGGGAGCAGCCTGTCTCCCCTTTATATTTCTTTCCACAGCTGCATGTGATAGCATACACACAGTCTTTAGTCATGTTCTCCTCTATGGGGGAGGGGTCTTACTCGGGAGAGATATCTGCAAGGTGTTGTCCAGCTTTTGAAGGTTGTCCTGATGTTATATGGCCTGAAGATCCTTTGTATTTTATCCTATAACCCCTTCACATAAGGCAGGCAGACTGTTTTCTGAGTGTTGTTGTCCTCCTCTTGTACCTGCCTATCCCAGTTTTTTGGGGCTGCTGTCATGTACCCAGGATAGATGTTCCCTTGTAGGGTACTAATTATACTGACCAATTCTTTATCTAATGTCTCTGGGTTGCCACTTATGATTTTTGCTTGGGGTTGTAAGCAGCAGATGATCCCTTTCTTTACGCTGTATGGATGGTGGGAGCTGAAATTGAGGTACTGTCTGGTAAATGTTGGTTTACGGTATACGGATGTCTTGAACCCATGCTCTGTTTGAGATGGTAGAACATCCAGGAATGGGAGTGTATTTTCACTTTATTTCTCCATCATGAACTGTATCGAAATTCTTATTGAGTTCACATAGTCCAGTAGAACCTGAACATTTTCCAGGTGTGGCCAGTGTATGAAGGTGTCATCACGTACCTTAACCATAGAGTTGGCTTTAGAGAGATGGATTCTAATGCCATTTCCTCAAAGTATTCCATGTATATATTTGCCATTGCTGATGATAATATAAATTTCATTTCTTATATAGTAGATCCATTTTCATGAATGTTTATTCTTTTTCTTACAGTTTAGAGGTTTTATCTGAATATGGACCTTTTTATAACAGTGGAAAGATCTCAGTAAGTAAAAATTTGATATATTTGATTTTTGTATTTTGTTATATATGACAATCACGTATTTGGGCAGCAGTCCATTTTTTATAATGCTTTGTTAAAGCATTCAAATGCCCCTTAAGAAACTGTGTTTCTGATCAAGCCAAACTCATAAATAATTATATTGGTCATACCACCACATGCCTATCTAGATGACTCATGTTACCCCTATCTGATCTTAGCTCAATTAGGACTCATTTAAACACGCATGGAAACCTACCAAACTCCATTCACACCATACTGGTAGAAAATGCAAGTATAATAACCTCATCCACATGTAAAAAAGATTAGAAATAAGGAAAGCGCTACTAATAAAAAAAAGGAAAAGCCAATACTCAATAACATGAATTATGAACATGGCCACAAGGTGCTGACCATGTTTAGAAAATAAAACATTCCTATAACTTTAGACATATATTTAAAAAAATCAAAATAAACACACATTCACTTAAAAGTAAAAAATAAAAATTGTCCTTGATAATGGTTAAAAGAATAGCCAAAATTCTTGGATATGCAGAACTTTGGGACAGTTTTTACACACTTTGTGTCTAGAAAAATAATCACTTGCATGAACGCAGGAAAAATTAAATAAAAAGCTTAATCATAGTACCTTGTTAGTCATCTTTAATGAAACTTATATATATATATATTTTTTTATTATATATATTATAATATATATATATATATATATATATATATATATATATATAGGCAGCAATTCTTCCTTTATACAAATTTCATTAAAATGACAGACAAGGTACTTTTTTTAAGCTTTTTTATTTAATTTTTCTTTAAAACCTTTTTTTTTTTGGACAAAAAGGGTGTGTAGAACTGTCCAAATTTCATTGTGGCTTTGTTTGTAGTTAATATTGTTAAGAGTTGGCTTTTTTTTTTTATTATTAAAATTGCTTCCATTATTTTTTTTTTTTTTTGCATTTAATTGAAACCGCACAAACAGACCCCATTAGAAATATACTAGTAGAAAACACAAATATATTAACTGCATCCAAATGCAAAATAAGACTAAAGATAATGGAAGTTTAATTTAACAAAGCCTCAATGTTTTTCAATTAATTCAAATAAAAACATCCCTACCACACACTAAGACATACACATTTTACACACACTAAAAAAGCTGAAAATCAAATCATCCTTGATAATGGCTAAAGGTATAGCCGAAAGTTGTTATTAATATAAAGCATTTGGACAGTTCTTACTTTTTTGTTTTGCAAAAAAAGCTCTTGTTTGATAGAACACAAGAAAAATGAAATAAAAAATAAAACTGTAGTACCTTGTCTGTCGTTTTTAATGAAACATATATACATACATACATATATATACATACATATATATATATATATATAATTTTATTTTTATACCTATCCTATAACCCTTGTGGTGGAAAAAAAAACGCTCCAATGAAGCAATTTGTAAACAAAAAAAATATTACACAAACTGATATCTGTGGAAAAAATTCAATAAAAAAAGAGAAGACTAAAAACATTTGTACTGCTTGTAAATAATCAACCAGCACCGCAATGTCTAGCCATAAGAAAAAAAACACCAATATAGTTAACTAAGCTAATATTTAAAAGTGTAATTTTGTTTTTTTTTTTTTTTTTTTTAATGGTAACTTTCTATACTTTCTGGTGGCCGCTTTATCAATAAAATGACATTTGGGCCAACCCACTTTAGTCATAACTAGCAGTAAAAAAAAAAAAAAGTGGAGTTTTGTTGAAATCGGTTGAAAAATGTAGGAAATCCGATCCCATATATAAACGAACACACACAACCAACCTGGGTTTTATAATAAGTATAACAAGATATGAGTTGTCCCCCTTTCATTCTCGTGACAGCGATGCCTCTTAATTCTTTAATTTTTTTTGATTGATTTTGACAAAAACAATTGTGTTTTTCAATTTTTTTTTAAATCAGAACCAGAAAATATTTAATGGTTTTTTATTTAAATCCAGTGAAGTTTTGTTGAAATCGGTTGAAAAGTGTAGGAAATCCGATCCAATATATAAACGAACAGACACACAACAACCTTATTTTATAATAAGTATGATGATTATCCTGATGATCTGGTAGGTGAAACCTAGATGGATAGCTTCTGGCTCTTTTGGTTAAATTATATATATATATATATATATATATATATATATATATTATAAATTAATTGATTTAAAATATGTTTTTTTTTTTTATACACAGTTCCAACCATGTTTCAAAAATAGAAGCAAAAACCCTGTAAATTTAATTGAGCACTATTTTGTAAAAATAAAAATATCTATAAGAACACGGATTTTTTTATCTTACTGTTCTTTCTTTTTTTTTATATATATATATATATATATATTTTTTTTTTCTGTGGTGGGGTCTAATATACCATCAGATATTGTTCTTTATCATTTTCTTCTCTTTGACTTTCAGGTGACGAGTGAGCATCTGGTTTGTACCTACAAATCCCAGGTGAATGTGGTATGCCAAAGGACTGGCAAAATCCTGTGGACAATCCCTCTCGTGAGTAACTTTCAAGCATAAGACGACTTGTTTCAGTCTGCTCGACCTGAGACAAATACTTGTATATATAATGTAGTCTATAGGATTTGTTTGGCATGTAGTGATATATGATGATGCTCATTAAATAAGCTGTAACTTTGAAGAATGTCTGGGCATGACAGCTCGGAGTATACTTGGTGGTGTCATTCTTATTGCTTGCCAGTGAGATTATCCATTGTGTGTTGTTTTTTTGTTTTTTTTTAGACAATATCTGCACACAATGACTACCCATCTCAGGTGGGTCACTTTTTAATTTAGAGTTGTCCTTTGAGGCCAGTATTTCCCAACATGGGCATGAGCACCCACTTGTGGGTTCTTATGTTGAAAGGGGGCACTTGGATTTTTTATTTCATTTGGTGGGTGGTGAACATACTCAGGGGAAAGGTGGGCATTTATCCTTTTTTTATTCAGTATTGGCTACAAAAGGAAATTTCGGAAAAGGTCTCTAAAGCTGTGGGAAGCGATCAAACTTTTCTTCATTGCTTTTCCAAATTTCTGTATGGCTGAATGTGGTTTCAACGCAGTTATGCAGCTTAATAATCAAAGAAACCACCTGCAAATAACAAAACGAGAAGATCTACGATTCCTTTTAAGCAGCATGGAACCTAGAGTAAAGACCTTAGCCAGTAAACACCAAAGTCAACCATCGCACTGAAAACCTTGAAATAAGCTATGAAATATAATTTTGTTTTTTTAGCATTTTAATCATTGGCATTTATACCAGAAATGAAAACAATATTGAAATTATTTTTGCACTAATACCCAAGTGCTGTCTTGCTACAAAAGATGAATTCAGTATAATATTTTTTTTTTATTTAATTTATCAAGTGGGGCGTGTTGACAAAAAGTTACTGGCCAAAAGAGCACTGGTTGAGAAACACTGTTCTCAGTGATTGAATAATTAATTTATTTTTTACAGTTTATCAACACTTTGCGGATTATTTAAAGCCAGAACATATTTTGGATTGGAAATTTTTTTTTTTTTTTTTTTTTTTTTTTTGTATATAGCCGTGATTTTTTTCAAGTTAAAAGTTCTACTATTTAACCCATAGCTGGGGAGGGAGTAGAAGTTATGGATTCGTACTATTCTCAAGGGCATTTGTGCGTAAAGTGAATGTAATGAACTTGACTGGAATTCAAACTTGGCTCTCCGGTTTCTCATTCTGGGACACTATCCACTACACTTCCTGCACATCTCCAAGACTGATTGCCACCCAGTCAGCTCTGCTTGTTAAGTCCTAGCTGGTAGTTCAAGAGATGAATCCTTACTTTTGAAAATTAAATTTGGCTCAACAATTACTCTTTTCTGAGGTTGGTTGGCACACTATTGACATTCCCTTTTCACGCTGTTCAGTCCTGCATTGCTGTCCACAGATCCCCAATGTCCAACACTGAGTCCCAAGCTATGATGTCTGGGAAAGTCAATTTTCATGAGAAGACACTTCCAGAAGGATGCCATAGGATGAGTCAATTTCCTTGTCCGCTTGGTGGCAGTGGCCAGCAAACTGTAATCGTTTTTTGTTTGCGCTTAAGAGAGATTGGTCTCAGTTCTCCGTAAATTGTATGAAGCTGAATCACCAGCCAATGTTCTGGAATTTTCTAAGTAGATTTGTATATGTTCCATCCAGTTGTCTTTCAAGACAAGTAAATAATGTTGAAGTTTCTGATCCATAGTGTAGGAATGGTTCAATCAATCTTCAAGAGGTTTGGACTTTTAAGGAGGATGGAAAGTTTGAGCACCAAATCTTGTGAAGATTCTTATTCTATTTCATTTTTAGAGCTTTGCAGATGATGAAGTCTTTTTGGGAATCTATTATATGACATTCAAAAATATTTGAAGTCCTCAACACTTAGTTGTAAAGATTTAACACTAAAACCATTGACTTTGTTTAAAATAGTAGCATTTAGAGTGTTTTAACATTAACCTCATCATCATCATCATCCTTTGACCTCCCTAGGGTTGTTTGGAACTCCACTGACAATCCCTTTTCAGACCGTTTGGTCCTGCATTGCTGTCCCCAGATCCCCAATGTCCAACCCTAAGTCCTGGGCTATGATGTCTGGGAAAGTCAATTTTCATGAGAAGACACATCCAGAAAGATGCCATAGGAGTCAGGATGAGACGATTTCCCTGTCTGCTCTGTAGCACTGGCCAGCAAATTGTAATTGTTTTTGTTTGACCTTAAGGGAGATTGGTCTCAGTTCTCCATAAATTGTGTGAAGTGTTGCATGGTATCTCCAATGTTCTGGATTTTTCTAAGTAGATTTGTATATGTTCCATCCAGTCGTCTTTCAAGACAAGTAAATAATGTTGAAGTTTCTGATCCATAGTGTAGGACTTGTTTTTATCAAATTTACAAATCAACCATTCGCCCTTGCATGGAGTTATTGCATTGCCATATATGGTCTGGAAAGTTGACCCCTTCTGTTTTTCTCAAGGTCCTTGATAAAATCCCATTCGCCCTTGGATATGCAATGTAATTGGCCCTGATCTGGTCATCTCAAATCTGCAGGATATGCAATCTCTTGTCACAGACGTGCCGTCGCCTCCCAGACATGCTGTCTTTTTTTTTTTAATACTTTCATGGTAACTGCTCCGATGAGCTGCTTTCGCTGGTTCCCAGACTTCATGAATTTAAGCGTTCAACTGGGCTGGCATTTCGCTCTCACACTTTCACTGTCGAAACTGTTAAATGTAGTCGTCTCTTTACTCCAATAGCTTCATGTCTTGCACTTCTCGACTGTGGACACCTCCCCCCACTTTTCCTGTTTCCCTGATGGCTATAATCTCCATCTATTCAAATGTAATGTCAATCGACGTCTCCAGATGCCTTGATTTATCCCCTATCTTTAACTTCATCCTTTCCTCTATCACTCCTCTTTGCTCTCGCTCCAACTCTCTGTAACCCCTTGTATGCTAGTGGTTTCTTACCTTGCTTTGGGTGAAATGCTTAAGAAAAAAAAATGTTGAAATCTTTTTTCATATATCAGTAGATTCAAAAATATTTAAAGTCCTCAACTCTTTTGATGGATGTATTATTGAGTGACTTCAACTCGGATGGCTCAGGGGAGGTTGTGATACTGTCTTACTCATGTTGCATAGCAATCACCTAGGAAGCAGCATCTGAAGCCTAACTAGACCCATGGTTAGTAATTTGAAGTGGTAATTTCTGAGGAAAAAAATTTCAGTAAGTATTTGGTACAATCTGTTGTTAACTGGGGCAAGAAATGGCTTGTTAATTTTAATGCCTCCAAAACACAACTGCTCTCTTTTAATTGTCTTAGAGAACTTTATTTCCCCTTCATAAGCGTGGCTGATACTAACCTCCAGGAAAGTGGCTCATTGTCTTTTTAAGCTAATATTTTCTGCTGACATGAAATGGAAAGATTATATTGGATTAATTGCTAAGTAGGAAACTTCATAAAAATACGTCATAGGTATTTTAGTGAAACACCACCCATTGTATTCTACCCAATATGTCTGTGTTATAGGGTGAATTATGTACATGACAATGATATTCATTTGTTTTATTTTTGACTCCATGCCTGGATTTTTTTTTTTTTTTTTTTTTTAATGTATCTTGAGTTGTAGGAGTGTTTTATTTTCGAAAAACAGTTGCAACTGTGTTCATAGTTAATGCTATTGAGTGTTGGCTTTTCCTCTTTTATTATTAGCGCTTCCATTATTTTTTATCTTTTTTTTACATGTGGATAAGGTTATTATACTTGTATTTTCTACCAGTATGGTGCGGATAGGGTTTGGTAGGTTTCCATAGTCCCCTAATTGAGCTAAAATCAGATAAAAATAAAATTGAAGGGCGTTAGATAGGCATGTAAAAAAAATTTTCAATATAATTATTTTGGAGTTTGGCTTCGAATATTTTTTCCTACAAATTCTTAAGGGGCATTTGAATGCTTTAACAAAACTTGTATAAAAAAAAAGACGGACTGCTGCCCATGTATATATTGTCATATATAACAAAAATTAAAAATCAAATATATCAAATTTTTTAAAAAACTGAGATTCTTTCCACTGTTATAAAAAGGTCCATATTCAGATAAAACCTCTAAACTGGAAAAAAAAAAATATAAATTTCATGAAAAATGGATCTACTATATAAGTAACTAGCAATAGATCCCACCTGCCATACAAATGTAACAGTAAAGAGATAGATCAAGTTCTTTGCCATCATAAAGACTGAAAAATAAAATTGAACAAAAATTATTGTTTATTTTTGACAACACAAGATATCTTAATTAATTTTTTTTTTTTTAAATTCATTGGTCAAAAAACAAACACAAAAAAAACATTGTTTTCAATCATTATGAGTCTAATAATTGAATACTTGAATTTTCTACTAGTATGTTGTAGATGGATAAATAAAAATCGTCTTTGATAATGGATTAAAGAATAGCCAAAAGCATTTGGACATGCAGAACTTTTGGACAATTTTTTTTTTTTTTTGTCCAGAAAGAAAAAAAATATAAAATACGAGCACAAAGAAATTAAATTTGTCCATAATCACAGTACCTTGTCATATATCTTTAATTTTTACTTTTTTTTTCTTTTTTTAATGATTCTTCTTAAATTTATAGACAATGTCTATCCAGACAATATCCAATCATCATTATTAATAATATTAATATAATAATATAAAAAGGAAATGAAGCTTCCCTAGGGCAATGGTGCTTTTTTCCTTTTTCAAAGTCAAAAATTAAATATAATCTCACATAACATGTCCTATTGACCTTTCCATATTTTAGAAGATCTTGTAAAATCTCCTGTTTTGGGATTACCATCAACTGCTTTATCATGTTCTCTTTAATCACTCTCTTTTCAATGCCAATTTCTAAAACAGTGGATAAAAAAATCATAGAGAATAAAATTTTTTGGGTGTATAGAGAGCTGATGGACGTGTGTTATGCAATGTTCAGCAAAAGTAAACATAGACCTTAGACCTTATAGACTTTATTTAAAGAAGGTCTTGTTTGATCTAGGAGGCATGGTAGAGTAATGGATAATTAATCTAAAAGTTGAAAGTTGCATTCAACTTACGTGAAAAAATACCGTTGGGAAATATTTTCCTCTTCTCTCTCAAGCTATGGGTAAAAAATAGGAGGACAGATATAAATATTTATATTTATGATGGCAAATAGGCCTAACACAGTAAGAAATGGCAATATATATATATATAAAAATCTGCCTCGTCAGTCATACTATCGAAAGATATTTATAGTCTAATATTGTATACACATTATTTATAACTGAGTGACTGACTGATTACTAATGATTTTTGTTTATATCTTTGTTTTTGATTGAAAATGAAAAATAAAAATTGTCAGTGGTCAGGCATGAAGGCAAATTTATTACTGATTATAGAATATTTATATTATATGTATAATTTTAATGCATTGCTAATGATTTTACTATAGGAATGCATTGAAAATGAGGAAAAATTTAATTCATTGTCATGGTCAGGAATAAATGCAAGCATTACTGATAGAATAGGGCTATTATATGTATAATGTAAATGCATTGCTAATGATTTTATGATAGATATTTTTTGAAAATGAGGAAGAGAGGAATTGTCAGTGGTCAGGAATGAAGGCAAGCATTACTGATTGAATAGGGCTATTATATGTATAATGTAAATGCATTGCTAATGATTTTACTATAGGAACACATTGAAAATGAGGAAGAAAGGGATTGTCAGTGGTCAGGAATGAATACAAGCATTACAGAGAGAATAGATTATGTATAATGTAAATACACTTGGGAAAGGTATGAATCCTCTTTTTCCCCTCAGCTGTGGGTAAATAGCAGGACAGACAAGTTCTATAGCCTTGGATGACAACTGGTCTACCGCAGAAAAAAAAATGGCAATCTATTGTGGAAAAAATCTGCTTTGTCAATCAGGTATCGAAAGATACATGATTGCTTAAGTGTTTATCATGCATGGCATATAACTGACTGATTTCTTTGATTGGTTGCCAAGTTATGTAAAGTCTGCACAACCAGATATTCAAAATAGACAAATGCTTTCCAGAAAGGTGTCTTTTTTTCCTTTTTTTTTTTTTTTTTTTCAAATTTTGTGTTACATATTTTTGTTCATTTCCTTGATTCTACTTTATGTTTTAATTTGATTTAAATTTGTTTCCATTATTTTATTATTGCAATATCAATTTTGAAAATAGTTGTATCCAGCTTTCAAATATGGTCAAAAATGAATAAAACTTATTGGTCCTGTCTTCAAAGGTCACAACTTGATCGGTGTGAATTTCACAGTTTTTGGTGGTCAAATTTCTAGGAAGTTGACATTTTAGCAGTTCTCACTTGCTAGATAGAAAATATTCAGCTTTTGCAGCACATTCCCATATAAAAAAACTTACTGAAGGAAAAATAAAAATAACTCTTCAGAAAAATGGTTATTTGCTTATCAAAAAAAAATGTTCCTGTGTCTGATGATAAACTATATCTGGCAAAAAGGCCTTTGATTGAAAAAGTTTTGAGGAACGTGAACTACCTCTGTTTTACTATTTATCTCAGGTGCAAACACTTGGGGTGGTATATACCTGTTAATATTCCCTAAATAAAACAAATAGTGAAACTCCAAACTGGGGTAAAACAATCACCAATTGATAAAATCATTTTCTCTAGTAAAAATAACAACAATAGATATTTTTCTAAAAAATTTCTATAAAAACATTTTGGGAAAATATGCCTTTTTTAGATATCTCATTTTTCAAAATATTTCCAAAACTTAGTAAGTCAACTCTCCAAATTTTGTTTCTTTGTTTGTGGCAAAAAAGTTAAACTCACAACAATTACTATGAAATCAAGTTTAAGACTAGATTACTTCAACTTTGCTTTTATTCATGACCATGTGTCCTTGGTATGTATTTAAAATTGGGCGGTGAAAATTACTATTTATTTTTTTATTCATTCTGTTATTCTTGTGTTAATTGATCCAAGGTATATTTAAAAGCCATGCGGCTAATTAAAAGTTTTAAAATTGGTTTAAAAAAACACGATTATTTGAGTAAGATGGCAGCTACATAAATTTAAAATTATAAACACTGAAGTTATATATAAAATGATTTTAAATGTTTAAAAAAAATAAACATACGTTTTTTTTAATTTCTTTTAAATACTTAAAAAATATAAATTTAACATTTTTTAAGTTGGAATAGGTTTAAATGAAAGAAAATGGGTCCCTTTTTTTTTTCTTTTTTATAAGTTCTTGGATGTTCTTATAGAGCCTAGTAATAATACATCCACTACCTTGTTATACAAGGTGTCCATAAGGTTTGTGTGTACTTTAAAAAAATTTATAACTTCAATTGTATTTGCAATAGAAATAATTTATAAAACGGATTAGAAAGAAGTAAATCTATATTTTTTAAGGTTTTATTGAAATTTTATTTAAGTTTCCACATGTCCTCCATCATTAGCAATACAAAGGATAATACGATTTTGCAGTTCACGGAAAACATTTGCCAACTGATTTGCAGTAATGCCTGAAATCACATTAGTTATTTTAGCTATAAAACTTAAAAACTTTCTAACATTAAACTTTATTGCAAATACATTTTTTTACAAATTTATTTCTATCGCAAATACAAAAAACTCCTAAAGTTATAAATTTTTTATAAAATAGTGCAAACTCCTAAATCTTATATTATTTTTAATTTAAAATAGGTTTATTAAAAATTTCATTATGAAACAAACACTTTTTAAAGAACTTAACGATTTTCCAAACACATCTTAAGATTTTTGTCCATCTTAGATTTTGTCTTTGTCTTTCTAAGATAACTAATAGCAACACAAAACACAGGAAAAAAAATACAACAACAATAACATTTTCTACAAAAATCAAATGCATAGTAACTATAAGCAAGATGAATCTTCACTTAGAAACATACACAACTCCAGTCGACTCGTCTTGGGTAAGATGTTAAACTACATCTGCATCCTTGGTAAGACAATAAACTACGTCCAGCAGCAAGGCCTCTGATCATGGAGGTTTTGAGGAGTGTGGAACCACCTCTTAATTGCTGGTGTTCCCAGGTCCACTCTGACTCAGGGTCCCAGTTATGGGCAAATAGTTAACTATTACCAGCAATACTTTTTTTTGAAAAAAATTATTACCAGCAATACAATTTTGAAGGAAAAATATTACCAGAAACAGATTTTTACTTATAAAAAAGTCTATTTCAAGGGATAAGACTTTTGAGGCTTAGTTGTTTTAAGATTATGTATTTTTCTTCTACTGCTTTTATTAAAAAAATTATTTAAATTTTCATTTGTTTTATTTGATAAAAAAAGTTGACTCAAAAGAATATTAAAACAAATTTTTAAATGAAATTAAAATATTAAAAATATTAAAACAATTTCTTTAAATGCAATTAAAATTACCTACAAAAATTTTGCTAATTTTTATTTTATAATAATTGTTTTAATCACATGAAAATTTACATGTATGTACATGTGTGTGTCTCACACACACATACAAACACATGTAAATATTTAAAAATCTAAAATGTTGGTGTGACTTATGACTATCTGCCAAAAGACTTCTAAAATGGTGTCTGTGTTGGAGGGGTGTACTAATAATAAAAGAAGCAAAAACCAGAAAAAATCATCATTCCTCAATAGGGGCACATCTTTACTCGCTACTTAAGTTTCACACTGTTCACCATCTTTAGGTAACTAGAATATATATATATATATATATATATATATATATATATATATATATATACTAATTTTTTGTTTTTCTTTGTTTTAGAAACTTGTTGTGGCAGACAAAAGTCTTCATTTGCAGTTGTTCAACCTGGAGACTAAGGAACTGAGTGGTCAAAGCTGGCGGGTGAGTCAATCATTAACTATGCAATCAAAGAAGTCCTGGAACTTGCCAAGAGCTTATTCAATCATTTACTCAAGAATTATCATTTGTTATAAAATTAAAATTGGAAATGCATGAAATTTTCAGAAGTATTGTTAATCCTATTATAATTGTTCATATCTCTCCCTTCGTTTTTAATTGCATGGCAAAGAGGGGAATAGACACTACTTGGTTTCAGTGAGAAAATGAAAGACAGGAAGCTAGAAGTGTTTAACATCTCATGTCAATACTGAACTATTCTGTTTTGATTGGTAAAAAATGGTAAAACGAAACATATCAGTGAGAAAATGAATAAATGAATGAATGAAAGTAAGAAAGGAAAATGGTTGTTGCAGTGAAATGGGAAAAGTTGTCAATTTCAGATCTCTTTATTTGTACCCCCTTACTTCTTAAAATAACAACTGGCATTCATATTTATGATTGTTGTTACAATATTTTGTCAAAGTTGTTAAGCTCAAATATTTAATTCTGCAGATATTTTATTGTCATAGAACTTGCCATTAGCTTATTCAATCATTAACTGAAAAATTAAGATTTATCAGAAAATTCAAATAGATTAATCATGAAATCTTCACAGCTCTTTCTCCATGTTTTCCTTTTATGCTGTTTCTGAAAGAAAGAAGGGAAACTAGAGAGAGAGAGAGAGAGAGAGAGAGATGAAACTGATGAGAACAGATACTACACTTTGATCTTATCCAAAAGTCCAAGAAGGGAGGTACAAGCAGAATATGTGCTTTTATGATCATTGTTATTGCAATATTTTGTTAAGCTCAAATATTTAAAGATGCAATAGGGGAATTTCTATGGATATTTTGTTGTTGCAGAAATTGCCATGATCTTATTTAATCTTAAAACTTTTTATCAGAAAATTAAAATAGGAAAACCATGACATTTTCATGTGTATTTCTATGGCAACAGGAACTATCTGCCTGAATTTCAGGGATGAGGGAGTTACCATTACACTATTTACATTTGGGCTATTGTCCTCATCTTTCTTGTTTTTATCACCATGTTTCAGCCTTCATCAGGTGTGTATTTATTGATTTGATTTTTGACAGCTTATCAACCTTTTGCAGGTTATTTAAAGTCAAAAATAAATTTTAAATTGCAAGAAATTTTTTGAGATCATAATGATTTACTGATACAAGTCTTACTAATTAACCCATAGCTGAGGGAGAAAAGAGGTGGATTCATACTTTTTCCAAGGGTATTTGTGTGTAAGTGAATATAACGAACCTGACTGGACTTGGAACTCTCCGATTTATAATTCTGAGCCATTATTCTACCCACACAGCTAAGCTTACAGCACCTGATATCCTCAACCAATCACCCATCTAAGTACTACCAGTGTTGCTTAACTTGGATGATTGTATATTGATCCAGGTAACCTACAACAAATTAAGAACCAAACCCTTTATTTAATCTACGGTGGTAGACTGTTAATGTTCCAATGCTAACGTCTGCCATGACCTTAATTCCATCATTAACTTAAGAATTAAGTTTAATCAGAAAAAGGAAAAGCAGGTAATTTTCACAGGTAAAGATTGAAAATTTAGTGATATGGTTGTGAAATGGCTTATGACTGATTTCAAATCAGTGGAAAATTAGGAAGCATTAGTAAATGGATAAACGGGTTGTCTAAATGATTGTTTAACTTGACAATCTTGAGGGACGATAGCAGTGTTTAACATCTGTCACTGGAATGGAAATGTCATCAATTTCAAATCTTATCATTTTTAACCCCTTACTTCTTAAAATGACAACCTACATTTATATTTTTGATTGATAATGCAATATTTTGTTAAAGTTGTTAAGCTCAAATATTTAACGATGCGATAGGAGAATATGGATATTTTATTGTCATCAGCTTATTCAATCGACTTAAGAATTAAAATTCCTTGCTAGTAGGTTGACTATATCCACTAGAAATCTGCTCTGAGGTGGCATGCTAATTTCAAATTTTTTCATTTGTACTCCTTTACTTCTTAAAATAACGACCAGCATTCATATTTATTATTGTTATTGCAATATTTTGTTAAAGTTGTTAAGCTCAAATATTTAACGATGCGACAGGGGAATTTCTACAGATATTTTATTGTCGTAGAACTCACCATGAGCTTATTCAATCATTAACTGAAGAATTAAGATTCATCAGAAAATTCAAATAGGAAAACCGTAAAATTTTCATGGGTATTTCTAGCTTATGGCAACAGGAAATATCTGCCTGAATTTCTGGGATGAGGGAGTTAACATTATTTACCCTTAGTTATCTCCCTTTAACCCTCCTCCCTCTCTCTCTCTCTCTCTCTCTCTCTCTCTGTTTATTTTTAAATGTACTTTTTATCACATAAAATTTGGTGAGGTGCTAGCAAATTTTCATTCTGAAAATGCAGCCCAGAGAAGAAAAAAAAACAACCAAACCAAACCCACTACCTTTTTTATTTTTATATATATATATATATATATATATATATATAGGAGGCACTGTGGAGTAATGGATAGCGGCTTGGATTGAGGAATCAGCGAGCGGAATTCGAATTCCAGTCGAATCCATTACATTCACTTATGTACTAATACCCTTGGGAAAGGTGTGAATCCTCTTCTCCCTCCAGCTATGGGTAAATAGCAGGACAGACTGGGTTCTATAGCGTTGGATGGCAACTGGTCTAGAAGGACAACTCTGAATTCAAAACCTGCAGAGGGTTGTTTGGGGACCCTTTTTGTATGTTGTGCGCCAAGTCTCTGTATTTGGTCCTTCAAAAAGTGTGGATGGTTCTGCACAAAACCTTCACCACTATAATCAGATCTCATGTGCTGGTGTTGGGCAGTCAGTTTCCTAGGAACTGATCTGCTTGACCCTCATACGTTGAATTCAACGGGTAGTGTCGTATTGATATATGATATATATATATATATATATATATATATATATATATATATATATATATATATATAGGTTTAACCCTTTGACTTGTATGTAAGTCCTGTTACTTTTTGGGAATGCTGTTGGCAACTTTGTCTGCAGTTGAGCAACATGATTGCAAAAAAAAAAAAAAGTTGGAGGTGGATATTGAGTATTTTGCTGTCTGAAATGACATTTAATCTCATTATGAAATCCTATTTGTAGTCAATGCTACTGAGTAAAGTCCTGGAATGTGAAGTCCTGGTGATCCTTCAGAAATAGAATTAAATATTATCAACATGTTTTTTTCTTTTTTTCTTTCTTTTATCATTTCAAACAAGCTGATAATGCCACTAGGATGTGGAGTGATTTCGCAGTGGAGGCTTGTATTTGTACTAAGTTGGTCCTAAAATAGGTTCGACGTACAAAACGTTAGGAACTTGATATAATAGGTATGACACAGAGCAATCTTGTTGTGGTCGCTGATACTTTCGTATTTGACTAACTGTCATCCGACATCGACTGACTTACTCTTACTACTCCTCCTACTTATATTAGGTGGGAGAGTCTCTTAACTATAGAATAGGTGTGTTTCCCTATAACAAATGCAGAGGGTTATAAGGAGTGAAAGAGAGAATAAGAAGACTTTAGTGAGAAGTGAGGAAAGGGACAAGAAAGGAACAGGGTTCAGGAAGGTAGAAGATGACAACTGACATTGCATTTAAATGTTTGAAGAAGGAGAGGGATGCAAAAATTCAGAAGAGTTCTACTGGTGAGAAGTGAAAGCAAAGAAAAATTTAAAAATTGAAGTGAAGGTTGCATCTAGCTAGTTCATCACTAAAACCATGAGAACTTGGTGCCAATCTAGTAGTGTGTTTAAATTCATGCAGTTAAGATGCTTTCCCTTGGCCATGTTGTAGCTTTCCTCTGCCTTTTTGTGGCAGACATGAGAAAGAACCTGGAACGAGCACAACTGGCCGCGACTTGCCTTGTCCCCGCCAAAAAAGAGCCCGTATTTGCTTAGCATGTAAAGCTACTGCAGTTGAAATGAGGGAGTTCTTCGAGTGACGTTCATGGTTGGCGGCTAGAACAGTCTGTTAGTGTGATTTTGAGACAGAACTCAAGAAGGAACGACTCAAGGTTGAAATACCAGTTGGGAGAGCTTGAATTTACTCGCTGGTTGCTGTTTTCTTTATTCGCCACACTTTTCTACAAATATTTTTATGGCAATTGTTCTCGTGAGCTTTTCCTCTTTGGTATCTCAATTTAATGAATTTAACCATAATACTAGATTGGCTGTTAGGTCTCATCATTTTACTGTTGAAATTGCTGTAAATTCTATTCTAGTAAGGGTTCTGTTCAAAATTCCAATCACCTGAAGAAAGCCTGAGCATACAGTGTCTGAAACATGAATATGGCAATAAAGTTCGGACAACAGTCCAAACAATGAAAATAATGTAAATAATTACAATACTTCATCTTGGAAATATAGACATTTTTTTTTTCTTTTTTCTTTTTGTTTGACTTCTTACCTATGGAACTCTTTCTCCTCAAATCCTGTTCTTTCTATTAACATTTCTCTGTAGTAATGTTTACTCAGTTTCCTTCACTCTTATACCCCCCCACCAACATTTTATTTCTTAGTGGCTTTATTGCCTTGCTTTGGTTGAAATGATTAAAAATGGTTAATTCTTTCTTTTTGCTAGAAAATGAACAAAATTTAAGTGTAACCTCAATCTTCTGTCCCCTTGAATCCAGTTCCTTTTATTGTCCTTTCTTTATTTGTACCTTAGTGGTTTTATCACCTTTTTGGGGGGTGAAATGATTAAAAAAAAAAAAATCTGCCAAAAATCTGGGTTTTTTTTTTTTTTCATATTCACTTCTGCTATCAGTTGCATATTCAATCTTCAGCCTAAGCACACTAAGTTTTTCATTATGTCCATATTTACATCTGTTCTTTTTGTTTTTGACTGCCCACTTCTAGCACCATTGAGCACATCTTGTTTGTGCCACTCCAAAACACTGAACTTCTTCATAGCGTGTTCAATATCAGCCATTTTAATAGCACTAACATTTCACTAACCCCCTTGAAAAGCTTTACACAAAATTACTCCAGATTTCACTCATTTCCTGCTAACACTGTGACATGAGCACATGCAACTTCCTCTACTGCTTGGTAGCTGATGACACACCTCAAGAAAACAGAAATTGGAACTTGTTTGGAGGGGATCTAGTACAAATGTTTGCCTGACTCATTACTCTAGTGACATGCTGTAGTAATTTTGAAAATTAAATTGATGCACCTCGTACATGTGAAAGGACAGTGGCATGTTTTTGGCAAATCGTATTTCACCTTTTTTTTTTTTTTGGTTCTTTATATGTCTGGCCTTAAAAGATTTCTGGGAAAAGAATTTATCTTGCCTAGTATATGATGCTTTTTAAGATCATAATGTAAATGTTTTTTTCTTTTTCAGTCTTTACACTTAAACCATATCCGGTGCATGCAGTTTAATGAGGCGGGGAACCTCCTCGCTACAGGAGGGACAGACTCCTCTATAAAAGTCTGGGACACAGATTACAGATACTGCACTCATAGTTTCAAGCGAAGTGCAGGTGTGATTACGTGAGTATAAAGAAAAAAATTTTTTTTTTCTTCTTAAAAATTGTATCTATATTTTATGTGACACAGGAAGTTGACAGTTTTATGACCAGCAGCAAAGTGTACAAATTAAGATCTTCAAAGTGGCCACCCACTTGACCAAAAGGCAATAGAGAAAATAAAATCCTTTTGGGATCATTACTTGCAAAAACAAATGAAAATTATTCTTACAATATGCAAAATTTGTTTCACCTTTAAATAATCCACAAAGGATTAAGAAGCTAATCACACAGTCCTTCCATAAGCCATTAATTCTTTTAAAAAAAATTTTAGTGTATGCCAAATTGGGTTCCTTTTTTTTTTTTCTGCAGGTGGTGGGGCAATTTAATTAATTTCTTGGGCAGGAGTAACATTTGATAAAATATAGCATAAAAAAAAGAATAAATCTTAAATTCCCCCAAGGATTTAAATGATCATTTGATTGTTGACAGTCATCAGAATTTTTTCTGCCATCACAAAAATATGTTTAAACTTTAATTTTTTATTTAATTAAATTCACTCCATGGAAGATAGTAAAACCACTAATACACAAGGGGTTACTGGATGCGAGAGAATTAGAAAACAGAAACATAATCTAGATAATGATTGACATTGCATTTAAATTTGTTTTCTAATCATATCACCCCATGAAAGGCAGAAAAGCCACTAAAACACAAGGATGTTACTGAGTGTGAAAGAATAAGAAAAAAAGAGAAACATTATTAAGGAGCGAGAACAATAGAAGAAGAGTAATCAAGAAGACAGTAGATAACGATTGACATTGCATTTAAATTTGTTTTCTAATCATTTCACCCCATGAAAGGCAGAAAAGCCACTAAAACACAAGGGGTTACTGAGTGTGAAAGAATAAGAAAAAAAGAGAAACATTATTAAGGAGCAATAGAAGAAGAGTAATCAAGAATGCAGTAGATAATAATTGACATTGCATTTATATTTGTTTTCTAATCATTTCACTCCATGCAAGGCAATAAAGCCACTAAGACACAAAGGGTTACTGAATGTGAAAGAATAAAAAAAAACAAAAAAACCAGAGAAACATTACTAAGGAGCAAGAACAATAGAAAAAGAGTAATCAAGAACGCAGTAGATAATAATTGACATTGCATTTAAATTTTTGAAGATCAACATTGGCTGGAAAGCAAGAAGCTGGAAGAGTGCATAAAAAGAAACTGTTGGTATAAAACTTATGGTTACATTTAACCAGTTCAACTGTCAATTGATGAGAGGTTGTTACTAACCTTGTACTATGGTTAAATTCATAACGTCTGGGTTTCATGGTGAAGAGCTAACCTGAACAATTACCATGAAACTATTTATAGAAAAGACACAGGGAAGCACCTTATGGCAGTGGAAAAGTGAGTAGGGCTGAGCTGCCAGGACAGGATCAGTAACATTGTAGATTCTTCTTTGGATTTTATGAAGTATATATATATATAGGTGGAGCATGGGACAAAATGTAACAACAATTTCCAAAGTGAGGAAGAACGGTAGATTTATAAATATGCAAGATAGATTCTGGTGAGAAAATCGTCTGACATGGTGAACCAACTTTCTTCGCAGCAGATCTAGCAAGATAGTCTTTCCACTTCATGTCAGCTGAGAATGTAAGCCCAAACAGGTGCAAAGAGTTCCTCTCCTGGGGGTTAGCATCAGCCATGCTGATGTAAGACAGAAAGAGGTCTCTTAGATGATTAATAGAGAGCATTTTTGTATTTGAGGTGCTAAAATTAACAAGCCATCCTTTACTTAAATGAGAAAACAACTTACTAAGACAACAATGTTTAGAAAATGCTTTAATCACTAGTTAACCTACAGTAAAGTTTGAGTCCAAGTTCCTACAATGTTTCACCTTTCCTGACAGATCTTCTGTTATTACAATGTGGGATTGGGCACCTCGGTTAGCAAGCTTGTCTAGCTAGAACAGTTACATACTAAAGAGTGAGTTCGATCCTCACTGGGTACCCCATACTTTCGGCCTTGTTGTGCCACATCTAAGCTACACTTAGAAAATCAGTATCAAAATGTGGGATATCTTATATCAGGAGTAGCCAAAGTTGCTTCATAAGAGACACATATAATGTTCAAATGTTTGAGAGCCGTACATTTTAGTTACATACACATTTTATTGCAAAATAGTTATTAGGATGGTGCAAAAATAATGACGTAATAATGTCGTTTTTGGACGTATTTTTTAATGTCAAAAAACGACATTATTACGTCATTATTTTTGCACCAACCTAATATATAAAAATATTACCATATTAGTAAAAAACGCACTCTGTTAAATTTTTTAAAAAATTCAACCTTAGTGTTGTGACTGCGCTCTCCAAAATTTCTTATCCATTAATAATAACACATTTCTAAAAAAAAAAAAAAACATATTTCAATTAACATTTAATCTTTCGTGTCCCGCTACTACCTGGATTTACTAAAAAAGTAAAAAAAATAATTTCTATGTCTGAGGATGGCTGTAAGTACAGCTGAAAGTACTAGCAAAATAAAAAAAAAAAAACTTATACAACTTGAAGTTACTAAAAACAAGGATCATAACATTCATCGAGAGGTTTGTGGGTTAATGTAACTTTAATAAATTTGTTTGCGAAGATGCTTTTCGCCATTTAAATCATTAACTTTACTAATCTACTTTTTGTACGAATGATTCATGTAATATAAATTGAACTGCACCATATATTTGATTTTAAAAAAAATATATATATAATGCAATAATATTTATTCATGTATGAAATTTTTAAACTTAATTTGTATTGGTTTCAGTAATCACAATTACGCACACACACATACATATAGGTAAATGGTTAGGTAAATGAGAAAATTATATATTATTGACCGTATACACGTGTGCTTGTATGCATATGCTGGTAAGCAAATAACTACCAAATTTAGCCAAGAGTTGTAGACATAAGAGTGCTCAATGTGATTAGACAGAGCTAAGGAATACAAGGGGGGACCCAAAAGTAACCAGAATCGTTTTCTGTGTGACAAGCCCGTAGTAGTTCAGGTGCCACTTGAGGCAACCCTCAGGCATCAGTGTGCTAACTGGTGTCATCGTAGGAAGAAGTACAGCTCCGTGGTTCACATTTGATTAGAAGTGCTCCACACCTTTTCATCTATTTTTACCATGGCTGAAAGGATGCCTGTGATAAACTGAAAAAACAATTGGAAGTTGATACAGACTTTTTTTTTTGAAGGTCATCACTGGTGACGAAAGCTGGTGCTATGGTTATGACTCAGAAACGAAGCAGCAATTAAGTCAGTGGAAGCATCCAACGTCACCACAACCCAAAAAAGAGCTTCAAGTGAAGTCCAATGTCAAGACGATGCTGATTTGTTTCTTTGATATGAAAGGAATTCTCCACAAAGAATTTGTTCCTGCTGGTCAAACTGTTAACCAGGCTTTTTTTTATGAAGTCCTGAAGCATTTTATAGACAAGGTGAATAGTCTGTCACGCCTCACCTGTGAAAAGTGGAGGTGGTGGTTGCATCAACAATGCGCCAGCGAAAAAAAAAAAAAGTGTCAGACAGTTTCTGACCCAAATGCTTTGAACAGTTAAACACTTCTCTGGACCAGTGCATTTCTTCAAATGGAGAATACTTTGAAGGTGATAAGAATATAAACAAGCAACAATAAATGAATAACAATGACACAGTTCCGGTTACTTTTGTATATGTATCATATATGTTAATAAATACATATATACCTATGTTTAACACACAATTCAAATTTTGTTGGTTGCCTGATGAATTGGGTAATCAACAAAATTCAAGTCATGTGTTCAACGTAGGTATATGTGTATTTATTAACACACACACGTCTTTTTAAATATATATATATATATATATATGGTTGGTTTGATGTGAGTTTGTGACCCTGGGTTTCACACTTTTGCGATCGTCAGACAAACATAAATAATTATATATATATATATATTTATTTATTTATATACACACACTTTTCACATACATATATATATATATATACTACTACCAAATGTACAAAGTCGGCCAATTATTTTTAACTCTTGAGCATGCAATATACAACTGGACATGCATAAGTATTTATTTCTGGAGCCAAATTCCAACTTTTGACACATTTGGCTTTGTGATTTATTTATATTTTTCTCAATTGCAGGGCAAACAGGAAATTTAATTTTTATATATATATATATATATATATATATAAAGAGAGATTTATATCCACAGAAATAAAACACGGATTTGAACAAAATGGACGTTATTTTACACTTAAGGAACCTTTCTACCAACACTTTTTTAAAGGTGTTCAATTGAAAAACAATCAAGGACACAACCCTAATAACAAAAGAGGGGGGGAGTTGGAATGTGATTAAAATAAATTAAATTTTAATTGTAAATAATTAAAAATAAAAAAGAGGAAAAAAGGCAAGTTCCACAAGACTATAAAATATATATATATATGTTCGTGTGTGTAAATATATTGATAAAATAGGAAAGAACCGTTAGATTGATGATCCAAAGTTCTTTAGTATTTTTGTTTTTATTTTTAAAAAACAGTGCTCAATACACAAATTAAAATCTTAGATTATAATTATTTTTTTTTTCCTAAAATATGATTCCATCCTCCACAGGAATTACTATGTTTATCCATTCCAAGCTAAAAACTTCCAATTCAATTATAGAAATTAAATTAAAGTACCTACTTCTTTTTTCATTTTTTAAAATTTCCATAATTTTTATTGGAAATTTTTAAAAAAAAAAAAAAAAAAAATGCTCTAATCCTGTGTTTTCTCGATATTGAATCATAAAAAAAAAATTAATGTATGAGGTATATATATATATATATATATATATATATATATATAAACTTAAAAGATATGCAAAAACAATATTGCATTTTTATTAAGTATTTGTTAATCATTAAATTGTTTTTAAAATAGTGGAAGTATTTTGTATGTTAAATAATAAAACTTGAAATTTTTCCAGAGAATTTCTTGTACTTTCCTATGCATCTGAGTAAAACCAACTGTATTTTGTCCTCCTTTGCAATTCTCCCAAAATTTGGTTTTGATTGGTCAATATAAGGCTATTTTAGATGGTGTGATGGATGGACTAATGAAAGTCACAGGATTTTATATGTAGAAGATTTGAAACTAAATCCATTTTCTTTTTTCTGCTTACAGCTCACTTCTATTCCAGCCGTATGGAAAGGCTGATGTTCGCCTTTTCTCTGGTGCCGAGAGTGGTGAGGTCTGTTTGTTTGACCTACGCAAAAAGTCTGTGATTCAAGCGTCAGAGCACCATTCCAGTGCCGTGACTGACATGGTTCTCTCTGAAGACAACAAAACTCTGATCAGGTAAGTACATTCGGCTTGAAATAATGGGCAGGCTCAAAAACATGAAATGATGCAATTTGCTTCAGACAAAATTTAGTTTGATTAATGTCCATCAGCAAATCTTGGACAAATCACCCAGCCCCAAATAGAAAATAATACTATCACCGTTTACAGCAGGCATGTCCAAAGTCAAGCATGGTGGTCAATTATGGTCTGTGGTCAAATTTCAAATGGCCCCCATCCACTGTCAATGACTGTATTACTTATGGCCCGCCAGTATTGTCAATAAGAGTATGTAAAGTACACACCTAAGAAATGCAATTTTATGTTTTACCAAAAAAATGGCAGCAGCACTGTGTGGATGCACTCTGATGGTGTGACTGTGATGTTGGCCTTTTCTGGCCAAATTCTAAAATCACTGCCTTTGTGCCAGACCTGGCCCACATAGTGCAGTCCTGGTCTCAGTAGCACCCTTCATATTAGTGAAGGCAAGTTATTTGTTTTGGTCATCCGAGATGAATAAATTCTAAAATCTTAGTGAATTTGTTTTGTGATGGTCAAAATCATTTATAAATATATTTGGACACTTGGGCTTTTGTCACTTTGTTTTCTACTTCTTAATAAGATGAATGTTGGTGTTATGTTTCTATTCATACGTTTTTTAACAGACAACATTAATTACCAATAATATGTAATGACTATTGCATATTATTGGAGATATATTATAGCTTCCTGAAAGATCTTTTGTTTTTTTTCTCAGACATATTTTACTTCATCTTATATGGGCTTCAGATTTGACAGGCTAAGTGATTTTGGTAACATATATATAAATTTATTTGTCATCCATGTGAACAAATAAAAATATGCCATTTGCAATAAAATTTTCATAAGATAGTTCACTTGCATTTAATTTTAATTGTTCAAAGACGCTAAGCAGAATGATTGGCCCTCACATAGATTCCCCTCCTCAAATCTGGCCCTCTTTGAAAAAAGTTTGGTTTACATCAGGGGTCGGTAACTCATTCAATGATGGGTTGATGAAGGCCATTAATGAAAAATTAAAGAAAATTACATATGCAGACACTTGTAAACCTAAATATTTAAAACCATAATGAAAATAAACATTGAGAAATCAAAAAAAACAAAAGAAAATCTAAAATTAAAAAACACCTAACAAAAATTACTTTTCCTCAAGGAACGTCAAAATACTTCAAAATGAAAAAAAATCAACTGAAGGGAAATGGATGAAATTATGACGTGTAGGTTTGAAACTGTTATTGAAAATTATTCCACAAACGAACCACACACACACACACACACACATCAAACAAAAACGAAGCACATGTACCCCTACATACGAGTACAAATAGTTGCAAATATATATACTTACGTATGTACACATGTGGTATCATCCACACATTCATGAGGCATGTATGTATAATGCGCGTATGTTTAACTGTCTTTAGATTTCTGCTACCTTGCATGTCAGTCTCTCCCTGGCCTCTTTCACTTTATCGTTCCTTTCACTTCTGTTATCTTTTAATGTAGCCAAGGGTCATAACAAATATGTATCCATTATTTGACATTAAACGTAGGCAACGCAACTTGGTAAAATAAGTCTCATGAAAGATAACTGGCAGATAGTCTAATATTTTTAGCGCACATGGACACACATGTGTAGACATTCTATGGAAAATGACATATAACAAATTTCATTTGAAGGTTGTCTCTCATGTTAGAAGTAGTCATTGGTAATCAGGCTCGCGGGCCAGTCAAAATGCTTCGCGGGCCGGATCCGGCCCATGGGCCGTAGTTGGTGCCCCTTGGTTTACATGTTGCTGAAATTTGGCTAATAAGTAGATTCCATCCCCAAAAATGATTTCTAAAAATATTAACTCAATCAGACTAATGGTTCAAAAGTTAGTCTGTTTTTATAAAGGGTGTTTCATTAAGATGGATCAAAGTCAGCTGTAAGTAAATCAGTGTTATTGGTGAAAATTTATTTATTTCTCTGTTGGATCATGTTATTTAAGTCATAGCAATTATGTGTGAAAAATAATATTACCCAAATGTCCACCAAATCTGAAAGAAAAAGGAAAAAAACCATTAGACACTTAAACTTCATATTAAAATCGATCCATCTTATTACTTGAAGACAATCTTCAGTCCATGTGTGAGTGTTGGGTTGTAGCTCAATTACATATGCTAGTTATTTGGGGCATTATGGGTAGCAAGGTTAGTTATTTCTGGTTTATTGTGCTGTCCTAACAGAATGGTTATATTTTAAATTATTCTAATTGCTATTGAATAGAAATAATTATGGGTCAGAAGTCATTTAAGTATTGGATAGAGTTGCTTGCTAACTTTTAAGTCATTATTTATTACTATGTTTGACCAAGAACTACATCTACAATGGAGTCTTGACAGGTACACTGAATCATTGTTACCTACAGATCTTGCCTCTGTCTGCTATTCATGGTTAATGTTGGTTCCCATCTATTTGCCCATCTATCTATAAATGTCTACAAAAATATCCCTCCTCCCCAAAGACACAGGTACATGCTGGGATTTCCTCTGAGCCTATAAGATAGGCCAATTGTTGGTCTCATTCAATATATTTCCATTTTTTAGTCAGAACCCTGCAAAATTTCTTGCCTGTATCCTATTTGTGTGTAAACACCATTCATATTTTGTGAACTTTTGCCTTATTACAGTTGCATTGCCTACTTTTTTGTTGCATACATTTTATTTATATATATATATATATATATATATATATATAAAAAATTAAAAAAAAAATATATATACCATTTTCAAAAAAAAAAAATATATATATATATATATATGTGTGTGTGTATATATATATATATATATATATATATATATATATATATATATATTATATTTTAAAAAAAAAGATATATACATATACATGAAGAAATTTCATAGAGAAACATTAGACATTTTATTATAAACAGAGCATTTACTTAAATCTTTCTATCTATATAAGTAATGTAGAAAAAATATATTAAAATAATTGTCAGACTTAGTCCATTTCCTAATGTCTGATGTCATTTGTTTATGTTAAGATATACTACGAGCAGATATGAGCTTTTGAGAGAAATCATGGGAAATTTAAAAACAGTAAATTGACCATGCTAATTAGATGCTTTGTCCGTAGCTAAATGTTATAGCAGGTCAGGCTATATGACAGTTCCCTGAAGGATACAGGTTCCATTCCTGTCACAGGACATTTTCTATGAAATTTGTCGGATATTCATGCTGGTAAATGTTGTTAATATTGTTTCTTATAAACAGAGCAATTACTTAAATATTTGAATCTATAAAAAATAATGTATAAATAGAAAATATGTTAAAATAATTGTTGGACTTAGTCAGTTTCATAATATATACATACACACACATGTCTTTAGTGTGTGTTTGTATATGTGTATGCATTTAGTGTGTTTATGTATCTCTGATTTTTTATTTTAATTTATGTTTATAATCACTACTGCTGACTGATATCATGTTTCCTGAACACTACCCCAGTCACAGTCCATAACCTAACCCTCCAGTTGATGAGTTAAGACTTCCACTTTTTTTGATTTTTGCTGACTTTTAAGTCAAACTAAATTTAATTTGTCTGACTTTTCAAATGGTACATTCCACTAAAAAAAGCCTTATACTGTACAGAATAAATTATTTAAAATAGACATTTGAAAACAATAAGTTGAAATAAAAATGTGTTCTTTGAAAAACAGAATACATGTCATTAGAGGTTTTTAAAAAGATTATTTATAAAATTAAAGCAAGAAATACATTGCCTATTAAATATCTCGAGCTCAGATAGAACTCAGATCTATGCAGCCCGACTAGCCATGTTAATTTTCTCTCATTCTTTCCGTTTTTTTTTGTTTTTTTTTTAACTTTCTTTCTTTCTTTATTATGAACAATATTGACAAAATGTATTTCGGTCAATATTTTGAGGCAAGGAGTTAAAACAATTCATTTTGGATCCCGCTGAAGTCAAAATTGAAAACAACGCACTACAAAAGATTTTTGTTGCTTTGAAATAGATATAGTTGTATCTTGATTCACTCAGGCTAAACCTGACCCCCAGAGAATGTCTGAGGACAGGATGCCCAAGATCCTAATGTACAGCCAGTTAGATCATGGCTACAGGAATGCAGGACAGCCATGGCTAAGATACAATGACAAGCTGAAGAGCAACTTGTCAGCTGTCAATATATCATGTAACACCCTTGAGCACTTAACCTTGGAGTGGGTAGAAGGAGGATCAACATGTTTTAGTGGACTCAGCAGTTTTGAATCTGCTTGTCTGAATCATCTTCAAAAAGTGAGAGCAAGATCTAAAAGGTCAACCAATCTAATAGTGATCCCATCTTTAATCCTCACTCTTGCTCCATATGTGACCTCCTTTATAAATCACTTGTGGGTCTTAAGTGCCACTTAAGATTATTGCACAAAATTTCATAACTGAATCAATTAAGCTGTCAGATCCTCATATGTCGAAACCGACATGAGAGTCCATTATATATATATATATATATATATATATATATAAATGTATGTCTGTGTATTTTGTCTCCATCTACTTGTGAGATTTTATTTTTCTTGCAGATGATGTTAACAATTTAAAACTTTTTTTTCTTTGTGCACCAAAATAATTTTAGATAATGAAGGCTTTTTGAATCCTTGGCTTTCATGTTGAGATTTCTTCTACTGATTTCTTTTTTTCTTCATTTCAGTGCTGGAAGAGATAGCATTGTCACTTTGTGGACAGCAGAAAACTTAGGAATACAAAAAACTGTGGCTGTCTTTGAGGTCAGTCAAACCCTTTCTTTTTTTCCAAAATTTTTGTTCAAAACAATCTCTATGAATTGACCATAATTTTGTTTGCTAACAAATTTGACGGCTTGTAAGACTCCCACATTTAATTTTAATGCTGTTACAATGTAAAAGCATTTATGTCGGAGAGAATTCATGAAATCTAAAAGCCTGTATCTATGGGCATAAAAGAGATTTACGTTTAGACAACAATTCAGACTCTCTCGTAATACGCAAGAACAAACCGGGCCTTAACTTTGATTTTATAAATGCCACTCTAACTAAAAAAGAACAAAATTCTTTACATAGAAAATACTTAGAGGGATTACTAATAACAATATTACCAACTATAAATACACATCAAAAACATATTACGTCACCAACCTTTATTGAATCTATTCTTAAAGAATCTAATGTATGTTTATCGAAAACAAACGGTGCATATGTAAAAACATTCCCAAATCTACATGCGAAAAACCACCAAACCTAATATACGAATATACATTATTATCTGCAACCCACATAATGGAAGAGAATTATTATACACTTACATACATAAAGTAATATTTACAGTTTTTTTTAGGTAGGCTTGGAATTCCAAGCCTAAAAAAACTGTAAATATTACTTTATATATGTAAGTGTATAATAATGTCTCTTGCATTATTTGGACTGTTATCCTTATCTTCATTGCCATATTCACAATGTTTTGGCCATTATATGCACCAGACTTCTTCAGGTGATTGGAATTTTGAACCAAACCCTTTATTTTGTCCACTGAGGTAGATTGTCCTAGTTCCACGTGCCATTATTGAGACTGTTATCCTCATCTTCATTGCCATATTCTCAACGTTTCGGCCTCTATATCTCTGAGATGAGGTATTATGATTACTTACGTTATTTACACCAATTGAACTATTATCTTTATCTTTATTGCCATATTCACAACATTTTGGCCGTTGTACACTCCACTCTTCTTCAGGTGACTGAAATTTGGAACCAAACCTTTTATTTCCTCCACAAGGTTAGATTGTTCCAGTCCCACATGCCACTCCTCTTCTGGATGTCTCGGTTATTTCCCTTCAACTCAACTCTCCACGTTTTGGTTTACCACTGCTGTGGCTTGGTATTGAACTCAAAACTTTTTAAGTCTATTCACTGGATCTAACCAATGTCTTTATCTTTTAGAGGTGAAAAGAACAGATACTACACTTTGATCTCTACTCAGTGGCCAAGGAGTAAAGAAAAACATAACTAGATTAGGACTGGCTGCTCGGTCAATGAATGCCAAATGTTTCTTTGTAGGGAAATGGCTCATATTGCCATTAGAGATTAGAAGAATAGATACGACACTTTGATCACGGAAATTTAGACTTTATGCTATTGTTATTTATTTTCTAATTTCAGCCGATTGAATCTTTATTGTTGGTTACAAAATATTTTCCCAATTCTACTGGTCATTGTTTTATCACTGCTGGATCACAAGGTAAGAATTCCCTTGTGGAGTTTCTTAATTTATGCACTTTTAAATTCTCATGCGTCATTTTATTTGCATTTTTCCATGGAATCTTAAATTCTTCCTTTGCCAGTGATCACTCAAAGTCAGGGTGTTTTTTTTTTTATTTTTCCCCAAGCAAGGCAATAAATCCACTAAGACACAAGGGGTTACTGAGCGTGGAAGAATATGAGAAAAAAAAAAAAAACACTATTAAGGAGAGAGAAAAATAAAAAAACAGAAATTAACTCTTTCTTCCTTGGTGGTCCAGTTTTATTACTGACCTAAGCCTCATTCTGACGTTACTTCCCTAAGCCTAGTAGAGAAAACTGATAATTATTTAACATGCCCATACAAAAATTGCTCTGAGTTTATAATTAATAAAGATAAATGTATGAAATTTTCAGGGAAGGTTTCAAAATGAATTTAACCATTACTGTGCTAATTTCTTTCTAGAATTGTTCCTTCCTGCCACTGCATATTTTTTTGAGGCTGCAAAAACATGAACACCTACTGTTTTAAAATTGTTATAACTTTCTTTGTATTGTGTGTATAGATTTTATTTTTTGTATACTGATAAAAGAATGGATAAGTAATATTTTGATGTAATGTGTAAAGTGGTGTGTTTTGGATGATGCATCTGGAACTTATGATGTGTGTGTATATATATATATATATATATGCACACACAAGTAAATGATTGGTATATACGGAATAAATTCCAATAACCAACAATTACTGTTCTTAAAAGAGTGCTCAATACAGAGTATAGCAGATATAATTATTTATTTAAAAAATTATAACATAAATATGTTATAAAATCACTACAAAAATAGCCATTTTGTTTCAACACCACCGGTGTCTTATCGTTAATTAATTTGAAACTTTTCAAACCATTTATTTTACATTAAACATCATTACTTGATAAGACACAAAATGGTTTAAACAAAATGGCTATTTTTGTTGGTTTTATAACATATTTATGTTATAATTTAAATAAATATTTTATATATATATATATATATATATATATATATATATATATATATACACACACACACACACATCACCAAAATGCAAATCTTTTACTTGGTATTCGGCAATCAAGTGGGATGAAACCTATAAAGACTTGATTAAATTACTTGTTTGTAGTACAGAAAATGCTGAATATATGCTACATAGATGCAGTAATTGTCCCAGAATTGAAGCTTTCACAGTTCATTTAACCTTCACCAAGCCAATTTCTTTCTAGAATTGTTCCCCACTTCCACTGCATTTTTTTTTGAGGGTGCAAAAACGTGAACACCTACTGTTTTAAAATTGTTATAACTTTCTTTGTATTGTGTGTATACATTTTATTTTTTTGTATACTGATAAAAGTATGGATAAGTAATATTTTGATATTTGTCTATATTTCTGAGATGAGGTATTATGTACAATATTTACATTGTTCTGACTATCATCTTCATCTTTGTTGCCATATTTATTACAATATTTTGGCCGTTGTACGCTCTGGCCTTCTTCAGGTGGTTGGAATATTGAACTGAACCCTTTATTTTGCTCACTGGGGTAGACTGTTTTAGTTCCATGTGCCATGTTTAATGGATGTCAGTTATCTCTTGTTAATTTCCCTCTCCAGGTTCTCCACCACCTTAACCAGCTATTGAACTCACACTCTTTGGGTCCTGTCACTGGATCTAACTAATGCCTTTATCTACTGTGCCATTAAATAACCTATTGAAGTTGATATGCCATAAAACAAACCAAACGAATTCTAATTTTATTAGACAAGGTAATAAACTGAAATGACTAGAATATATGAAAGATGACTCGTTGATCATAATCTTTTCATCATAATATGCATCTTCGTCTGATTAAATTATTTTCATTTATTAAAATGCCATCTTTAATTTTTTTTTTTTTTTTTTTTTTTGTCCTTTTGTCTCTTCGTAAATTCCTTTCCTTTGTATTGTTAATATTTTGTCCTTTTTGAAAATCATTTTTAATCTGTTTTACCAATCAAAAAAATTATTACCAGCAATACATTTTTGGGGGTTGAAATGTTACCAGCAATAAAAATCTTGTCAGCATTAAATAACTGATTGAGGTGTTGATATGATGAAAACCAAACCAAACGAATTCTAATTTTATAAGCCAAAACCAATATACTGTCGACTACTACAAACATCATGAATTTCTTAAAGGTCAAACATACATTTTTTTTAAAATGATTATTACCAAGAAATGAAATTTTTAAAAAAAAAAAAAAATACCAACCAAAGATACAGGTTTCATTTTTTTGAAGAAAAAAAATGGTACCAATAAAAAATTTTATTTTCATTAAATAACCTATTGAGGTGAATGTGCCATAAAACAAACCAAACTAAATGAATTCTAATTTTATAAGATAAGGTAATAAACTGAAATGACTAGAATATATGAAAAATGACTCATTGATCATAACATTTTCATCAAAACCTGCATCTTTGTCTGATTAAATTATTTTCACTTATTAAAATGCCATCTTCCAGATTTTCTTGGAGGGAATTTGTGCCATGTCCTTTCTGTCTCTCTGCGATTTCCTTTCCTTTGTAGCTGTTATTATATTTTTGCTATCTTTCCTAATCCCTGTTTTGCCAATTGAAAAAATATTAGCAAATAATAAAAAAATTCTTGTTTTTATAAATAACCCATTGAAAATATGCAAAAAACAAAAAAAATTCTTGAGAGGAAGAGGAACAGTAGAAATGGAGAAATAGCTGAGTTTTTGTTTGATAGTTCGGAGAAATGTATAAATGGTTTGGAAATTCAAGAGAGTTCCCTCATCAAAAGATTTAATTTGCAGACATAAACTTTCAGCAGCAATTGGACGTGAATTTTAAGTCCTTTCTAATTGATTTTGGGAAAAAATTTCAAACTGATCAGAGGAAATATTGAAAGAAATATTTATCATCTTAATTAAATTTTAAAATGAAATTTGAAGGATGTCTGAACACTTTTTATTTGATTTTTTACTTCAATTTGTGAGTATGTCCTTTTGTCTCTCTTTTTGGAAATTCCTTTCCTTTGTTGCTGTTATTATATTTTGAATATCTTACCTAATCCCTTGTTTTTTAAATTGAAAAAAATTAGCAATTAAAAATATCTTGTTAAGAATTTGAAGCATCCTTTAAAAGTTTTTTTTTTAATGTTTTTTTTTGTTTTTTTTTTTTTTACTAAGTTTACCCTTAAATTTTTTTTCCAAACCCCCCCCTATCAACCTAAAATTTCACCACTTTTTTATTTCACAAACCAACACATTTAAAATCCAAAAAAAAGTAAAAAAGTTAGAGCTTTAAACTTCTTGTATATATATATTGACCAAACAAGATGACTAACCATAAATTCTTTTAAATTTTCAATTAAAATTTCATATTTTGGCTATGTATGCGCTTAAAGATGTCCCCATTTTCTCAAAAGGTCATTTTATTTTAAAAATGTATAAAATTTCTTAAATTCATTCAAGAATTTTTTTTTTTTTCATTCAATTTAATGCAATAGTGATTTTCAAGTCTTAATTTGAATCCAGATATTTCAATTCTCTTGAAACCTAGGAAAAATTGATCAGATTGAACTTTTTGTAAATTACTTATATCATAATTATTCTATATCAACAAGATTACTAACAATTTTAAAAAAGAATGGATCCTCCCTAAATTCTAATGCAACAATGGTGGTTAAAGATCTTGCAATTCAAATTAACCTATACCCTGAACAAAAAAATTTTCTTTTGGAGTTGTCTCCCTGCCACTTTTAAAAAGAAAAAACAAAAACACCTACTGTTTTAAAATTGTTAAAATTTCCTTTATAAAACAAATACATTTTATTTTTTTAAACTAATAAAAAAATTCAAAATAGTGTTTGGAAAAAACTCAATTAAATAGTGTGAAATGGCATAGTAATTTAACATTTCTGACTTAAAATAACGAAATAACAGTTGAAAAAATTTATTTATAGCAACTGTCTCAATGAATGATGTCCCTTTGAGCAGCAAAATAACTGAATTTTGATTTTATGGCAACAGTTTTCGCCTCCAGACATCTTAAAGGCTTTTAACAATACAATCTATAATACCTTGTTTTAAAATAAAAACATATTTTTTCTGAAAAAAAAACAATTCCTGAATTTATTCCCTGCTAACAATCCATTTAAAAATCAATCTTGAATGCAATCTTTAAACAGTTTATTGAACATTCACATCCAGATATGTTTTTGTTCAGCACCATCAAAAAAAAAACAGAATATTAAGGCATAGGTTTATACAATTCTTGTTCTAATATTTAAAACTTATAAAAATACAGGATTCAGGGTTCATTTTATACCTAAATTTAAGATGAATATTTCTATTTTGTGGTTAAAAATCTATACAACAACAAATAAAGTAGGTTGCAAAAAAGGAAAAAAATGTTTTAATTGTTGCTGAAATTTTTCTTTTTTAATTTGCATGCAGCTTCCAATTGTTTTTAATGATAACTCCTCATCCCAGAAATTTAGGCAGAACTTGTTTCAATTATATATATATTTTTTAAACAGTATAAATTCTCAAGTATATTTTTTTTATTTTTATGAACCCCATTCTTTTACAGGTATTTTAAAAATATATTGATAAGTGTGAAATGTAATGAATTCTTACATTTTGGTCATACAATCAAAATTCAAATGCATCTGTGAGGTTCCATTTTTCTAACCCAAAAAATGAAAATGATGCCTAATATTCTAATTTGATTGTTGTCAACAATACTTTATTCATTTCACATAAACATATATTTATAATTTGGAATTTAAAATGTCAAAAACAAGTAACATCTATCTCTTGCCAAATATGATTATTTTTTTTATTGTCTGTAGTATGATAACAGAATATTAAGCAATCTATACCACCTTAGTCATCATCTATGTGCTGATCATGGCTCTCCAAAATGTCCTGTTCTTTGTAGCACTTAATAAAATTT